AGGTTATTATACAGTATCATCTCTAAGTCTTTCAGTCTCTGTTTCTGCAAGCTAAGCAAGTCAATTTCCTCAACTTTAATTCAAAGGGTTTAATTTCCACACAACCATATGTGCTGTACTCCTCTTGCTACATTCCAGCTTATTGATATCTTTTCTAAACTGTTATTCCTCTAGGTGGGCTGCCAGGAAGCCAGAATAAAATGGAACTATTACTTCCCTTGGTTTGGATACAAGACTTTCATTGATGTAACCTAGTATTGCATTTGCTTATTTTTGTCCTTACGTCATATGATTGAGTCATCTTTTGCTTATTGAGTACTAAAACCTGAAGATCCTTCACACTACCATGAATCCAAATGTCACCCATCCTGTATTTCTGCACCTAAATTTTCCTGCCTAGATATAGAACTTTATATTTTCCCCTGTTTATTCTGATCCAGTTCTCCAATTTGTTAAAGAAGGCTCTCAAGTCACAAGCAGAGATTAGCATGAACCAAAAATACAAACAAACAAACAAACAAAACAAAACAAAACAGGAAGTTAGTGAAAACTCACTGCTTCATTTGTTTGGTTCAGTTTGTCAAAACAAATGAGCCAAAGCAGACTGAACCAAAAAACTTTTAAAGTGATTTAATGAACTTCCTGCTTTGTTTGCCCCCTCCCCCACCCCTTCCCACTGCCATCATCAACTCCCTAGCTTGTGCTGCTGCTTCCGTCTCCTCTTCCTATTCCTCATCCTCTGTCTCTGCCTTTGCCATTTTCAGAGAGCTGAGCCTGCTGTCCCTGTGCATGTGCCTGCCTATCAGGCATGTGCATGTATAGAGACAGTGGCCTGGCTTCTGTGAGACCATTCTGCTATCTCTGTACATGTGCTGGGGTCCCAGTTGACCAGGGAAATCAGCTGAGACCAACGTTCCTTGTAAGCTGTGAGGCCATGTGGCACTGGATCACCCATTTGCAGCCAGAATGACAATGAAGGAGGAAGAGGAGGTAGGACCAGATAGGGAAACAACGGGGGCAGTGAGAAGGTGGTAGGGATAGGCTGTGGGGCTGCAAATGGGTGATCCAGCACCATGCAGCCCCAATCTGGCACTGTGCAGCACTAGATTGCCCATTTGCAGTCAGAATGATGATGGAGGATGAGATGGCAGGACCAGACAGAGAGGTGACAGGGGCAGTGGGAAGGGGGGCAGGTGGGGAGAAGGGGTGGGGAGTTAATTTCTCCTCATCCCAGGAAAAAAACTTTTAAAAAATGTACTATTTTGTGTTGTTTTTTAAAAAACTTCAGAAAGTTAATGTTTTATGGGTAACCACAAACCACCATGACCAGCCTTTTTTTTTTTTGTTCATGCCCCTCTCTAGTCACAAGAACAGTGGTTCATTTCTGTGCCCTGTTCTAAATCACTGGTTCTTAACCTTGGGTTACTCAGGAGTTTTGGACTGCAGCTCCCAGAAGCCTTCACCACCAGCTGTCCTGACTGGGGTTTCTGGGAGTTGCAGTTCAAAAGCATCCGAGTAACAAAGGTTAAGAACCGCTGTTCTAAATGATAGGCCAGCTGTATACATCCACCAATTTTTTCTCCAGCCCCCCTCCCCACACTGCCCTTTTGATATGCTGATGTTGCACAAACACAGTATACATGTAAACACTTCTGCAGATTCTGTGACCCAACTTTAATATTGCAACTAACATGAACATTAAATCTTCTCTTACTCTATTGGAAGAGATCTGTTTCTTTACTCTAGGTAATTACAGCCATTTTTAGAGCCAGCACCTTGTGACCTGGCAGCTGTAATTGCAGGAGATGCCACTGACAAAATAAACAAATGGATGTTCTTTAAGTGAACTCTCACAGGTTAGAACCCTTTAATTATTGGCCAAAAATCCTCTTCCATGGCCATTTCCTACCCTTCTGTAAAGGGTGCAGTTCATGGAGTTATCTTATTTTCTCACAAAATAAGCCTTTCTAGATTAGGCCAAGACCTCATCTAGGAGCTCTTGGCTCATCCACAACTCTCTGTGCATAAGCACAATTCACTTCCTCTGAATTCCCAACAGCTAGCTAGGAATGTGGGATATTTTGGCACAAAAGGAACTGCAGCCACATGCCAACTGTTCTTGGTTCTGTCCCCCACCCCAGCAGCTGTAGTACAGATCATGTATTCATCTTCAGGAATCCTCTAGCGTGAGGTAATTCTACACAAGGGAAGTTGCTGATGAATTTTTATGTAGTTTACGTATACGTAAACTTTCATTTTAAACAGCCAGGAAATTCGGTTCATCAATGACAACCCCCCCCCAAACCCTTCTGTTTTATGAGTTTGGGATATTGTGTTTCAAGATGCCAGAAAGATCCAGTATGGCTGTGCAACATTGTGTCGATGTTGCCAACATCCTTTACAAAATATTTACAAAGGAATGGTAGCCTGAATGTTGATAACACCAATGGCAGTAATCATGATGGTCTACAGAATGCCCTCTTATGTTCACTACCATTCTGAGAGACACTAAGCAGGGGAAAATCCCAGAAGGTGGCTCTTTTCATCAGTTTAAACGTTTCTCAGCCAAACACAAAGCAATTGTCGGGGCTGTTTTCAATAAAAATCTCAGCAAGTCAGCTTTTCAAGCAACTACCATCCAGCATATAGGCAAAGGGGCTTTAAAATCAGTGAGTTATCCAGAATTATGAATGGGAGCTGAAGTTTGTGTTTAGAGTACAAGCATTAGACTTGCTTGTAGAAGAGGCATAAATAGATTTGTTACTCTGTTCGGATACTTGGGAAACTCCTTTAATTGTGCACTAAGAATTATTGGTTGAAAGTCCTCTTGCACAGCTATGCAAATAGAGCAGATTTTGGAAGCAAATTGCTCCAAGGTAAGAAATCACCATACAGGGACGTGGTGGCACTGCGGGTTAAACCACTGAAGCCTCTGTGCTGTAAGGTCAGAAGACCTGCAGTCGTCAGACCAAATCCATGCGACGGAGTGAGCCCCCGTCGCTTGTCCCAGCTCCCGTCAACCTAGCCATTCCAAAGCACGCAAAATGCAAAAATACGAGTAGATAAATAGGTACCACCTAGGTGGGAAAGTAAACGGCATTCCGTATCTAGTCACACTGACCATGTGATTATGGAGGATTGTCTGTGGACAAAACGCTAGCTCTATGGGTTGGAAACGGAGATGAGCACCACCGCCTAGAGTTGGACATGATTAGACAAATTGTCAAGGGGAACCTTTACCTTTACCTAAGAAATCACCATAGACATTACTAATTGTCCATTGAATCACACAACTAAGTATGCAACAAATAATGTCTACCATGATTTCCTGACTTGAGATAATTTACCCCCAAAACATACACTATTTGTGTTATGGCAAAGTAACTAGATAAGAGGATTTTGGTCATTAACTAAGATACTATTAATTTCAAAGAGCGTGTCCCAGGACAGCGCGGCTAACGGTGCGCAAAATTCTCAAATTCTATCTCTGGCCTTAATATGGTAAATAGGAAAGCTAATTAGATTTGCATAAGCCTGGGAGGCAGGAAAGCCCTGAGGGTCAGATCATACTTCCACACTATTAAAGAGCAGTCCGGGTAGGTGGGGCTCGTCAGCCATGGAAGGCAGCCCATGTAGGAGAAGGAAAACTCCAATTTCAAACCTCCACAGCCTTGTGGCTATATCCACTCATGGAAAATGCTTCAGGAGTTAACCTAGAGGCAAAATCCGGAGCTGGAGTCCCGAAGGCAGCTCGTGTCGTTCTGCCAACTCCTGCGACATTGCTGGAACCAGTTGTATTGGCTCTTGCCTTTCCATTGGACCATTTCAGCAATGTGGAGAGGGGGGCTTTGCTGCTTGGGTAACAGCCTATCCTCCATATTACTTTACCCAGGCTTCATGCTCTGGAGAGGACACTCCTCGATTCAGAGCATGTCACCATACTCTCTCGAGACTGAAGGATGCCTATGATTAATTTCAATGTGTTTGCTCTGGGAGTAGTATAATTTTCCTTGTGACTACAGCCATTCATACAGCCCCAAATCACAAGAAAACTTCCACAAGGTTATGAAAAATAGAAGAGGGTAGCCAGTGACATGAATTATCTTACTCATTTAGATTTCCCCAAAAAGTTAAGAGATGTCAGTTGAACCAAAAGACAGCAGCACACTGTAAAGAAAACAAACTACTGCTGTTTCCCATAACTGAGTACAATATTACAATTACCTCATTAGCTACTTCATCACATCTATAATTATCTCCAGAAGGCTCTGTGAACCCATCATGCATACAGATTTGGGAAATATTTTCTTTCTTTAAACTTTTGTTTTGCAAAAACTTACTTTAAAAAGAAAGCTCAAACGATAGAGTTCTCCAACCTGGTGCCCTCCATATGTTTAGGGCTACAGTAAGGAGAAGAATATCAGATTGGAGAAAGGTTACTGTAAGTCACTATATGAAGAATAATATTCAGGTGCCATCAAGTCAATTCTGATTTATGACAGCCCTTTTCTGGGTTTTCCAAGTAGAGAATACTCAAAGGCACTATCTTCTTCTGAGGGTGCCCTGGGACTGTACAGCTTGCCTGAGGCTACACAGGCTGGCTCTGCTTGTAGGAAATGTTGTGGTGAATTGAACTCCTTTTGCAGCCAGATATCTAGCTATCTAGCCAGCTTACATAAAGAATAGTTTCACAGTTTAAGCTTCAAGGATTACAGTCAAATGCTTTAGACCAGTAAAGAAATGTAAAGCTACATGCAAAAATAAACTTTAATGGATATGTGTATGGTGGTCTACATTCAAGTAGAACCATTTGCAAACCTATCTGTGTAAGTAGGACATAGGAAGCCTAATCCCATATATCTTGAAATGCAGATGAAAATGCATGTGGGTATTTGGTATCTCTGAATGTTGCTCACTCTTAATGCGACATTTGTGCTGGACCTGGATGAGATAGTCACACCTTACTGAAAGCTAATAAAATCATCATCATGATCACTAAATGCAAAAGATCCAAAGAAAAAGGTTTAATAATTCATATTAAATAAGAGAACATGGTCAGCTTATGAACACTTATACCCATTACATATTTTATATTATAATCTTACAAAATACAAAGCCAGTGCATTTGTGAAAAAACTGAAACAGGTTTGTCTCTGACATGGTGCCTTTCATTCAAATGCCTATTAATGTGGGAAATAATTCGGGGTGATGATGCAATTCCATGCTTCAGGAGCATGTGAATAATCTGAAGTGGAAGGAATGACTAGGCAATTTCCTTTAGATTGAGCATTCCCAGCAGATGTGTATATGAAAATCACTTTGACTTTATCAGATTTAGAACTGCTTGACAATGAAATGAAAAATAAAGTGGTAATGTAAAACCAATACATTATACAAATAAAAAAAAGTTTCTGAATAAATACTTGGAGTATGTATGCCATGTCCATTTCTACATATGTTTCAAAAAGGCATAAATATCTGATACAAAATCCATGATTAACTGGGACATGATGCTGTTTGAAATGTGAAATGTAGAAATGTGAATATTTCAAAGAACTAAGATTACATTATTTACATACAAAGTGTTGAAGAATTTAGATATATAACTTAATAGACAAATAAAATTGTAAAAAAGGTAAAATAAATAATCACTTTTAAAGCAGACAGACTACAAAAGTGACTTGTTTAGTTATAATTACTTATACATCAGAAACTGCGAAGGCCAACTGCCAGCTATGTGAGAATCTTCAGTTTTCGGATTCTCTTAATCACCAGTGCTAGAGTGCAATCCGAGAAGTTGAAAAATCCGTGCTTTGGATTAACAGTCCATCCAATATGACTTGGAAGTTCTGAGAAATGTAGACCAAATGACTTTCTTCATGTCCACAGAATCCAGTGTATGTTTGCATGGAATAAACCATGCTGAGATAACTGAGATTTTACTTCAGAGAAAGGCATGCTTAGGATGAGTCTGATTAAACAGTAACATGCTTAAAAAGCTGCTTACCAAAGGTCTTCTTGGTTCTAGAATAAGGCACTTGACTTACAAATGGTTCAGAATCTACTTATACAAAATGTATTGCATGTTTGGTCTTATTCTTGTGCGCCAAGATATTGTTCACACTCAGGGTCACCTAACACTTCAAGAGATCCAGGGATCCTCTTCCCATTTCTTTGATAGACACACCAGCATGTTGCAGGATTTCCATCAAGTGAAGCTTCACACTAAGGGATGCACATTTAGAAAACAATTACAATATTTAAAATTTTAAGCAGTGAGTAGGTTAGATAAAAGAGAACATGTTACTCTCTATGTCACACTTTATTCTCCTAGAACCATTTGTTTTCTTTGACCTCAGCTGAACTTCAGCTGTACTGGTGTAAAGCAGACCCTGAAAAGAAGTTTGGTATTCTTTTTGCTGTCTTGCCTAAACAAGTGTGTATGTAGTCATGCACACATGTGCATCCTTGTAGTTCTCTGTCTTTGCTAGAAAGGAAAAGGGAATTTGGGATAAATGAGTTAAAAGGGAGATTTTGAGTTGTACCGTGATACAAAACAAACACTCTTCCCACAAAAGAGCATGAAACAAAAGCAGAAATCATCTCATGAATTAAAAGCATGCTTTTAATCTAGAAAGATTAACAGAGCCCTTGAGTAGAAGGAGCTGCTGCTTGGAAGCATGCTTTTAGCCTTGACACAGCAAAACTGAGATAATGACCTCTGGAGTTGACAAGAGATATTTAGAAACATCCAGGTTTATCCTGAAGTCTCTGTATCACATGATTGAAGTCTTGGGAAGAAAACAGAAAAGATAATATTACCAGTATTCTGTCTCCTGAGAATGACATCCTTGAACACAGAGAGGAGGAGACTTGGTATATTGGTAGGATAGTGGTATTAACCAGAAGGGGACATACCATATTTTTCCATGTATAAGACACCCACCACTTTTCTAATCCAAAATTAAGGAATCTAAGTGGGGCTTAGCAAGTGGAGGGGAAAGCACAAACCCCTGCAGGATCACTTTGAATCCTGCTTTCCCTTCCACTTATTTTTGTTCTCTCCTTAGCTTGCTTCCATGTATAAGACAACCCTCAACTTTTAGTCTAGAGATTTTAGACAAAAGTATAGTCTTATACACGGAAAAATATGGTAAAACTCTTGGTCTCTCTCCCTTGACTGCAAATTCTTCTTTAATGTGGCAGAGAGTGCAAAGAAAAATTACCCATTTTTTCTCTGGAAGGAGGAATGAAATGGGCGAAGAAGACAGGGAGCTGCATCCCATTGGTTCCAGCTTGGATTGGTCCCTGGATCTTAAAGGGAACCTCAGTGGCTACAAAGAGAACTGTTAATTTGGCTACTGAACTTTTTCTTGCTGGGAATTCGACACCCCAAGTGTTAACACAGTGTTCTGATAAGACTAACTCCTCTGAGGCATCAAAGATGAAGCAGCCTTTAGTGGTGACCTAGGCAAAGGGGATGTGACCAAGGAAGATGTGACCAAGGAAGAATCTCCGAACCAGATTTCAACCTCAAGTGGAGGTGATTTGGCATTGGAAAACTGGCTACTCTATTTAATGGATGATATCCAGTATAAAAAAATCATTCTTAAATGAAACTAACACACTTCTAACTACTTTGGTAGACATTTGCAAAAAGTTATGGTTAAAATCTGATAAAGAGGACACTAACATGTATATCAGAGGACCGGGGGCTTGCTATTATTATTCCAATTTATAAAAAAGGAAAAAGAGTAGACCCTTCAAATTACAGGCGAATCAGTTTGCTAAGTGCGTTCAGTAAGCCATACGCTCATAATCTTCTTGAAAAATTATTAAAATGGATGGAAGAGGGGGATGAGCAGGCAGGATTCAGATCAGGAAGTTCTATTAGAGATCATGGTATAGTTTTATAACATTTTTTGGATAAATATTCATCTACAACCAAAGGAGCGCTTTACACAGCCTTTGTCAATTCTAAGTCTGCATTTAATATGATCCCATGATCCTATCCTGCCAAAGCATCCCTGGAAGAGATTATGAGCACTGTATAGACTATTTGCTGACAAACCAGTGCCCATTGGTAATTATTAAAATAGCCACCTTTTGATCAGTGGCATTAGCTTGCCAGCAAGAGATGGTACCTTGTGAGTGTGTGTATTTTATAATGATTATCCATATTTTTATAATGAAATTTCTATTTTTAAGAGTTAATCATATGCAATGTGATTAACTCTTGTGTATTTAATATGTATTTAATTAGAATCTAAAGTTTCCCATTGTTGCATAGCTTTGTTACTGGTCTTTGCCTGATCTGTTGCTCATAATAAAGGAATTGATTTGTTCTGTTCTGTTGTTTTTAGTTTTGAAAGGCTTTGAAAGGTGTCATTTTGGTTTGAAATGGTGAGGACATTATTTATTAGAGAATTGTGCTTAACTGCAGGAAGTCATATCTGGGACTGCTCTAGCCTCTCTGTCTTCGAAGAAAAAATAAAATACTTTGAAATAGCATCACTATGGTATCTCAGCGTCCTATGTTTATTCCATCTGTAGGAAGAAGACTTTAGTTGCAATCCTAAATACAATTGAATGAGATCAAGACTTACTGAACACAGTGGGACCTCTAACATACACAGTTCAGCTGCATTGCCTCTGTTATTCTCCAATACTAAAATTTCTATTCATTTTATAGTGAACTGGACTAAACTTCCATTTTATGGGCATAAGAATAAATGCACCAACCCCACAACACAATTACCTGCTTGCTATGGTAAAATCCATTTCTGTTACAGTTGGGCAGATAAAATCTATATATCTCGCCTCCAGTTCTTTGCTGAGCTTTTGCCAACTTCTCCAGTGCCCGGTAGAGGTCTTTCTGACATGGGCCCTGAAAGAACAAGATTTGAACTGTGAGAAATAATGAAACATCAAAGCAACTCTGAAATAAGAGAAACAATATACAAATGAATTCTTTTTAAAAAAAATCTTGAGCAAATGCTCTGTCAATATGGTGATGATATTACAGTATTTACTTCCAACAGTTAGGATTCATAGGTACAATCCTTACTGAGACCTTTTTTGGCCAAGTGTTCACATTAGTCACTTAGTTTAATGCAACATGAAAAGAGATTAATGTATTTTTGAGACAGAGATGGGAGAATTCATGGCTGGATCCTCAACAATCAACTATCATTGCCAATAGTAATATATGTGCCATGTTATGTTATTATATGGTTAGACATGGGGGGATCTGGGGATTTTAACTGGACTGTGACACAGTAAATGACCTAGCAAATTCTACAGATTTTATTAACAAGTTCTGATCAAAAAGTTCACAAACTGTTCTTTGGTGCCCTCAGGTGGTTCTATTACATAATTACATGCCCAAATCAGCATTCTGTTACTTATGGCTATTTATTGGCAAACAAATTTTAATTAGATCTAGTTTGATAACTCGGTGTGTTTGAAAATTCAGTTCTGCACTGTGTCTCCCAGAAGAAGAGATAGCCCATGAAGTCTTGGGCGAGTTACATTGTCCCAGACCTTCTCTAAGAGAAGGGAATGATAAACCACTTCTGAGTACCTTGTACCTAGAAAACCCTGGAAAGGGTCATCGAATGTCAAATTGACTTGATGGCACACAATTATTTATTATTTAAGGTGGAATGAACATACATATGTTGTATTACATTATTCGAACATCTTTGATTACATTATCGTAACCATTTTTTCAATGACTTTGTAAACTAGTACTAGATATCCCAGCTGGCCAAGTTTTACCTAGATTTTTGGCCTGCTAACGGATGACAGTTTAGGCCAGTTGCCCCAGATTTTGTGTTAATTTAGAATTAAAAATTTGACTTCTTTTCTCATATGTCTGGTTCTCTAAGGGTGAGAAAAAAAACCTAGGTAAATTTAGGAAAAAACTGACTAGCTGGTAATATGACATATCTAGTACTGACATACTTTTCATTAAGATGATGTAACTAACGTTGTTTGAGTAATGTAAGACACCATATGTACATATGTGCATGTGTTTAGACAAGGCAGCAAAATTTGCAGTGACTGTTTCAGCCAATTGTTTTGTGAGAAATGAGTATTTCCATCTGGTTAGCCAATGAGTGAAAACATTCATGTCTAACAGGATTCAAAGATGTATTAACTAACGATCAATCAGCCAGAAACCTAAGTCTGTACAGCTTAGTCTAGCTAATTAAAGTTGGTTGATGACATGCCAAAGAACACACTGGTTGTACTATCAGGCATATGACCAGACACATGACCAAACACACCCAGGCACCTCATCAGACTCCTGCAGCAAATGAAACAAACTTTACACTAAAACCAGATGGCTGGATAGCTCAGTGGCTTTAGGTATCTGGCTGCAGAACCGAAGGGTGGGAGTTTGCGAGTACAGCCAACCTGTGTGGGCTTGGGCAAGCTGCACAGTCCCAGCGTGGCCCCAGAAGAAGGGAATGGTAAACCACTTCTGAATATTCTCTACCTGGAAATCCTCTCAAAATTGACTCGGCAGCACCTGATTATTATTCTACTAACACTAGTAGGAATTGGACATTTTATCATGAATAATGATGTAATTGTGGGAAAATGTGGTTGCATCTTATTTTGAAATGCTGACAGTAGGCAATGATACGAACAAAGAGTTCATAAAAAGCAATGAAATCATGTGAATGAATATTGGTTATGGGATTATGGGAGCTCATAAAGGAGAACTTTTCCAAACATTGATATTATGCATCTTTACTCGCCTTCTGAAATTTCAAGTTCCACTTTGTCGTCTGTAGTCTTCTGGGAACTTAGCTAGGTGCTATTCCAGTTGAAAAAGAGGAGGAAAAGGGGGAGTATCAGTTATTGGAAGCTTCTGCTGATGCTATTGGTTATTATTAAGGTTACTAGATTTATAGTTGCTCTGAATATTCTGTTTCTAGAAAGAGGTTTCAAACAATTATAAGGAAATTATGTGTCTTTTCTGAAGAACTAATTCTGTAAGCATTTATCTTGGTTTTGTTCTTTTAACTGCTACTAAATTAAATGGATATTACACCACAGTAAATGTGCATAGAATATTGATATATTTGTATTAAATAAGAAGAGGAGATCAGCAAAATTCCTTCTAGGACTACTACTAACAGAATCCCCTAAACAGCATGGCCAGTGACTATCCTGGGTAAGAGGTTCTGGTTTCTGTAGTACAATCTGTGCTATCTTTACAGTGTATTTTATTTCCTACTACAATACAGTCCAGAGCAGTGAACAAAATGGCAGCTAGCAGGGGTTGTGGTTTAGAAAGATATATAGTAAGAGGTGTTTTTAAAAAGAGAGAAAGAGATGCCACATTGGCTTGTCACTTGCTTTGAGATCAGAGTTTGGTCTAACTCACCACCTACTGAGGGAACTGGTTCCATTGTTTCACTGCTCTAACAGTTAGGATCCCCCCCCCAATATTCAACCAAAATCTGGCTTTCTGTAATTTGAGCACATGATTACACATCCTGCACTCTGGAATGACTGAGGTTCTGGATCTCTTCTATGTGACAACCTGATTACAGTGTGTTGTAGTGAACAGAGTGATGGACTGGGACTCTGGAGAACAGGATTTGAATCCCCGTACAGCCATGGAAACTCACTGGAGGAGTGGAACAGGTAAAACCACTCCTTTAATTTCTTACTTACCTCGAAAGCCCTATTAGGGTCGCTATAAGTCAGTTCTGACTTGTCAGCACAGAATACACAAACATCATTTCTGTCCTCAGTCTTTCCTCAAAGTTAAACATCCCTATTTCTTTCAGTCTTTCCTCATACCAGTTAGTACTGATATTAGTATAGTTGGTATATTTGTCCTGTAACTCCCAGAAGCAACACTTAAGATGGACAACAATCTGTGGTATTTTTAGGGGTTCTGAAGTTGTAGTTCAAGACTATCAGGCACCTCCAAGTTGGAAACATTGCTATATCAAGAGCATGTTGACCCCTTTGAGTTACAATTTGAAAACACAAAACACTATAAGAAATTCTATGTGAAAATATAGTCCTAACTGTGCCTTCACTTCCTTTTCTGTTTTCCCTCCCAGACAGCTACTCAGGTCACAACAGCCACCTATTGTGTCCACAATCAGGTTAACATGATAGTCTCAGAGATGAAGAAAATATTGATTTTGGTCCTCCAGAAATTATGTTTGGAAAAATGATATTATTTGAAATAGCAAAACCAGTAGCTTCTTGGTGAAGTTATTTGGAGCAAAAACAGCACCTGTGTGGAAAATGAAGCTGTGTTGATTTTCATGGTCCTTTCTCTAAAGGTCTCTGCAGATAATTCTAAAAAGTGAGGGGTTATGTAATTATTGGCATACTGCTCAGCTGGTCCCAATCGCTTGAATAACAAACACAACGTTGTAAGTGGAGTGAAAAAGCCACAACTTTATTGATCACAGTGGCAGTTAACCTGGCACAAGATTGGGTTTGATCCTGCTTATCATGAGACCTGAATGCCTCATTATGTAATCTACGGTCTCAACAGGACCTCTCTGTGAGGCCACCTGAAATAGCACTTCACCTGGAGACCACAAAGACATATGTCACTTTGTCCCACCCAAGCTGGGTCAGCCTCCTGCTCCCCATGTAGGGGTTGCATACCAACCAGGACATGCTGGACCCTAACTGCCACCCTATGACCGCTTGGATCCATCCCAAAGCTCCAAACCACCAACAGAGTTGTGACAATGTAGAGAAACCCAAATCACCAATCAAGCTTCCATGAAAAAGCCCCAAATAAAGTGCACAACAGTCTACCTAAAGCAGGTGGAAGGGGAGGGAATCATTCCTCAGAGAGTCTGAGGCTGGCTGCCACTGAGCAACAATGCAGGTTCCTCAGATAAGTCTGGGTCTCCATCCTTGCAGCAAGAACAATTAGAACAAAGGATAAAAGTGCCATTTGGCACATTTAATCAGTAACACAAAGTGATTAAGTACCAGAATTGTCAAGTTTTTTTAAAAAATAATCTTGTTAAAGTGGGCTCTAGTTTATTATAAAGATACTGCATCGGATGTCAGACTGTTAAAATTGCTGCCTCTCCAGAACCTGTCCCTGGTTTGTATGGAACCAACTTTTTCTTACTGGGGAGAGGTAAGTGCATGGGGCCCTAAGCCAGACTTGTCATCCCGCCCCTTGCCTGGTGTGGACAGCTGAGCAGGAAGAGAGTGGAGCTCCAGACGCTATTGGCTGGATGAGTGGGACCGGTACCTCAGCAAGAATGTGCGTGGATGTTAATTGAGAACTAAGTAATAAGTGGTGGTCTTCTGAGGGGAAACTTGAAACTAATTCTACTCTGTAAGTCCCTGAACTTTTCCTACTGCATAGTTATAGTTTTATAGTCAAAATTTTCAGACTCTGCCAATATATTCATAGTGCTTTCTTGTTTGATGAGTGGCTCCAGTTTTTGACAGGTTTCTTCTTAATATTGATGAAATTAAGCTTTGTTGGCATGTTAACTTTCTGTACTATATTTTTTTAGGCCACAATACAGTGTTACATCAAACGGAACGTCTAGTATGATATATTCATAGATAGTTTTTAAAATGTATCATGCTTATTGTTGGTGATAAAGTTCATGGTAGCACATGTTGGACTATCCGAGGCATAGCAACAACTGCCAATTTACAGTGATGGAATAAAGATTGGGGGGGGGTATTAGCTCAGTTGGTTAGAGTGAGGAAAACACCAAGTTCATCATGAATTTGATCCCCATACAAGCTCCATTCAGGGTTTTGAACCTTTGTCCTACTCATTCACCTCAGTTTGCTAAGTAATGCACAGGTTTAGAAATGTGTAAAGAACAAGTATGAAAATACCCAGGACCAACATACAAT